GAGCATGAATACGGCGAGGCGACTACGGATGTGCGACAAAGGCAGCACCTGCAGCATCGGACGACGACCCAGACATCTCTGTGTAAAGGTGACAGCCGACGCAATGATGGCACGACAGGCTCGGATCCGTCATGGCCAAACGGAATGAATGTTCTGAGAAAGGAAGTGAGCACTCAAGTCGCGCAAAGAGTTATCGACAAGCCTCAATTTTCTTTTTATCTTCTTTTTAAGGTCAGGCTGTGACCAAACAGGCTGTGACCGACCTCATTCAACAGGCACGATGCATCGGCTGATCGCATCCGAAGGCTGTGAATGTGTCCCAAAGCGGACGAAGCAAAGGAAGAGGGTTCACTTGGTAGCGGAAGGCTACTAGATCATGGATACGAGAGGAGAGACGCGTCGCAGAGATCTTGTGCGTTTCGACAAGTGCGGTCTTGGCTCGTTGATCGCGTTCGACTGGATGACGAGGTTGAAAGATACGTGGATCGTGTGGGGGTGCTACCTGCAGGTGTTCGAGACAAACGGGGGAACATGGGAGCTGCGTGTGCTGCGTGTGTGTGACCTGCCGGATCATTGTGTCAATCTGCAAGTCGCAGTGCTCCAGAGGTCCTAGATGGCTGCCGCCGGTGGAATGTGTGCGATCTGTTGATGGCCCGCCGTGTCGGCAGGGTGAGGGGAAGAGAGAGGGAGAGAGAGGGAGAGAGGCAGATCGAGGAAGCGTGGCAATGGACCAAGACATCTCGCTTCCCATGCCGTGCCGTCCGCGGCTGACGATAATAGTCAGACACTGCTGAGGAGCATGGTGGCTAGGGCGCCGCTAGAAGCGAATGATGTTGGAGTTGACGATGCGGTGAGGAGTGGACAATGGAGATGGGAGCTGAAGATGCTGGAATGGAGGTTGAGTAGGTTTGGCGGTTGCGAGACAAGGACCACCCTACTGCCTGGTGCTGGTGCTCGAGACCTGGAGTGGGGCGGAGAACGGGGTGACAATTGGCTGCGACGGCCAGGAATCCGCTGGAAAGGAACGCTCCGGGGTTCGGGACGGGTCTCGAATCGGGTGCGCTACAGGGGACGGGAGCCCTGAGCAAGTCGCTGTTTCTGGACCGTTCAGGCCTGAACGGGAACTGCCACTGCCGTGCTGCCGCGCTCTGCTCTCCACCTTCCATCACTTGACGTGATCCATCAGTGGATGTAATGCTGACCTTGGTCCAGCTCGGGAGGCCTGCTATGAAGTGAACTATCACCTCATCCATGCTCCCACTTAGCACCGATGCAATCATCGGAGCCAAGCCATTCGCTTGAGCCATGCTTGATCTTGTGTCACCTCTTCTCTCTCTGCGCTCGCCCCTCCTCTCCCCCTCCAGTCATGCTGCTCGGCACGCAGGCCTCATCACGAACCCTCACGCAACACTGAAGAATGACCCAGTCAAAGGGACATGGGTACCTCCCTCCCTATGAGCTCACCGCGGGACAGGCTGACGCTCATAAATCACACCTCGACTCTATTACTCACGCAGTCATACACTCCATGCACGGCTGCATCATTGGGCTGGCCGCGTGATTACCTAGCTTATGGGCTATGGGAGGCCACGGGAGGCTGTGGCATGGGGCATCGAGAGGCAGGGTCACGGCGTGGGTGATACACACAGCGAAGGTGGAGAGGAGGGACGGATGGACACACACCCACACCACATTGGTGTGATGTCTCAGAGGGGGGCGAGGCTCGAGCAGGCAAGGTTGCCTCGTCGTGTAGGGCAGGGGGGTGGGGAGGCGACAGGATCCTTGTACGGGAGCAATGCCTCAGGTGTGTATGGAAGCAGTTAACCAGGTGGGCGACAACGAAAGCGGGGGGGGCACTGGAAGAGAAAGGAAGAGAGAAAAGGGGATGTAGACAGAGACAAAAGAGGCGAGGCAAGACAGGACGGGACAGACAGCATGGCGAGGCATCGCAGGCATGGCAGTAAGGGAATGTAGCTTTGCTCAACCCAGAGTCGCTGATTCGTGAATCGAGTGTTGGAGGTCATGCCCAGCGGCCAACCAACCACCAAGACATCACGGTTTAGACAAGGTAAACTGACTGACTGCCTGTCGTATCTACATTGCGCTTGACGAGTGCTGGTCTGAGCCTTGCCTGCTCTCTGGTCTTGTGCACCTCACCGAGGGGAAAAGGCCCAGTCGACTTCGGAGGCCTTCACGTCGCCCCTTTAAGAGCTGGCCGCCCGTCTCGAAGCCTATGCCACCGTCTCCTCTCTGCTTCTTCCTTTCCCGGTATCGTGTTTCTTGATCTGATAATCCATCCTCTCGTTCCGCCTGCCTTCCTACGCACCTATCGCCATCACCATCGCCATCATCATCATCATCATCATCCCTGCTCAACTGATCCACCAGTTGGCCAGCCTTCCTTATCGTTTAGGTACTCGTCCACAGAAATCCGCCTACGAGTGACATGGGCACGAAAGTACGCGATTATCTTATCGCCGCCTGTGTCACTACCTGGGCCTGCACAACCTGCACCTGTGCGTGCGCCTGCGTCTGCGCATGTACCTGTACAACCTCCACCTCCACACTGGGTCCCCACACGCCGTTCTTCTGTTGGCATTCTTTCCCTCGTGGTTCTTCTGCTCTGGCAATCAGTATTCCTGCTGCCAGTGTCCTCGGTATCCTTCCTCTGCTCTCGGCCGCCTCGACTCCCCTTGACGGTGCCATTGGCGTCGGTATTCAACCTCGACATACCTCATCAGCTTGAGCCAGGCCATCCCTCCGCCTACTACGCTATCCATCACCAATCGCCACCATTCACAGTCTCGCGCTGCGGCGGCACCCCTCACCTGGCTCCCAGACCCTGGCACATGCCCGACATTACCCACCACCAGTTCCACACCCGCCGCCCTTTGACAGAAGGCAGTGAGCGAGTACTGCGACGAGCATCTTAGACGCAGAATCCAGACTTCCCAGCGCATACCAGCGCACATCATCGCCCGCCGGACCCCTGCTAAAGAGCCATCCCTCGCTTGATTCGCCAGACCGCCAGATCGCCAACCCCCGTCCAAGCCAACACTGCGACTCTTGACCTCCAACCTTCGGCTCAATCAGGAGCTTGACTTGACCCCCCCTCTTCCCCGATCTGTCGTTCCCTTGGCCTGTCCAGCACCACCCCCTCCATCGTCGAACTCGGGTCTTATCCAGTCCTGCCGGCAACAACCTTCATCTGCTGCTGGCCTTGGTTCTCGCACTATTGCATGCCATCAGCTCAGCCCTTCGACAACCCATCACACACTGCGAGCCGGGTCAATAGATTACGCCGTACAATTGAAACGAAAACCAGCCCCTCCTCTTCCGCCGCCTTTATCACCGCCTTCCCCTCCTATCGCGCCATTGCGCTGCCCCTCGCTGGGCTGCTGAGTCAACCACCCGGACGACTACGCCAGATTCGACCTGACGTGACCGGGCCCCTCCTCTAGTCACTGTCTGCAACCCGTTCTCGGCCCCTCTGTGGTAAACCACCATCTTTTACGACTCCCATCACTGCAGATTGCCCTCGTGCCATCACGCTTCGCGTCTCTTCTTCGCCAGCATGCCCTCTACCGAGCATCGCCACGTGCGCTCCGGCAGTCTCAACATCACGCCGCAAAACGGCCACCCGCCCAACATGCCCTCCGCCGCCCCGCGCTTTGAGGGGGGTCCTCGCAGTCCTCCTAGTATGTGACTTGCCTGCAATTGACCCGCCACGACGCACCGCTTACCCAGACACAGACACTTCTCACGTTCCATGCAAGTTCTTCCGCCAGGGCGCTTGCCAGGCTGGCAGCGCGTGCCCTTTCAGCCATGACTTGGGTGCTTCGGCTGAGACCATTTGCAAATATTTCGCCAAGGTCTGTTCGAGGTAGACCCCACCAACTCCGTCGCTGTACACTGACTTGAGTGTGAAAGGGCAATTGCAAGTTCGGTCCCAAGTGCGCCAATATTCACATCCTACCCGACGGGCGCCGCATCAACTACGGGAAGAATGGAGTTACGATTGGCACAGCTCCGATAGCCCTCGGTGGCGCCCGAGGCAACCCTCCGACCTCAACCCCATACCACCCCTCCACCACCAGCGCCTTGACTTCGGGTCTCTATCGCGACGGCGTGCCCGCCTACACGTCTGCATACCCGTACGGCGACGATAGACAGCACCACCTCGGCCGTCAGCCCAGCCTCGACAGTGGCCTACCAACCATCGATACCACCTACTCCTCTTCACACCCCGGCTCACAATATGGCTCACCGCGCGACGAAGATGCCTCCAGGTTGGGCCTTGGTCTTTCGCCGGTCAACGTCAACGGTCTCTCTGTACTCGATGCTCCCCTCCCTGCCTCTTTCGACTCACAGGGCATCTCCAACGCTGCGCGCTACCCTGCCGCGCCGTGGCCTTCCTCCGTTCCCTCCAAATTTGGCCTCGAGTCGCCGACTCCGTCTCTCAGCAATGCCAAGGACGACCGAACTTCAGAGACTCTCAAGAGCTTGCACACCTCTGCCTTTGGCAGCAATGAATATCTTTCAGCTTCCAATGCAGGCCTCGGAGCAGCCCGCCCAGCCACCCCGTCGGCGAGGAGTACTTTGGACGCCGGACTATGCACTCGAGCCGCTTCGCGAAAGCCCAAGAATGTTGAGTGCCAGCCTTCCCAAGGCGGCTGTAGATCGCGATTGGAATGCTGAGTTTGCCTTCCTTGAGGAGGATTACGTCCCCCATAATCTCCAGGAACTCCTAACACCTGCGGAGAAGGCCCGACGCGGATCCATTCGCGCAATTGACAGCGAACCCGGCAGCGAGAATGCAACCAAGTTTGGCAGCCCCCTCACGGGTGCAAGTCCGAGCCGTTGGGGTCCTTTGTTCCAGCGCCAGAAGGAGGAGGAGTTGGAGAGTCGTAGCTTCAGCAAGGCCTCGGCTTTTGGCCACGTTGGTAGCCCATTGCGCAATTCGGTCCTTTCCAACGAGATGAGCAACGGTCTCAATGGAGCAGGGCGCCACACTCCAGGCAGCCGCTCCGGCAGCGACACGACTTCTGCTCTCACCCAGCAGCTTTCGCGAACGCGCCTCGCTGACGATGGAAACGGTAGCCCTCGCCTCCACCCCATGATGGCTGCTGGAAGAACTGTCAGCAACGGCGCGGGTGCGATTGGCAAGGAGCGTGGTTCGACCATTGAACGTCACATCTCCAGTGGTTCCATTGGATCATCCGGACGTTTCACAACCCCGATCGACGAAGAGGATCCAGCTTTCGTCTTCAACATGGAGGAGGACAGCGACGAGCAGCAGGCAGCACGGCAGAGGAAGCGCATCTCAGCAGGACTCGGCATGGGAGGCGGCGGCAGCGGTTGGAGCTACGCCGGTGTCTTGTCCGCCAAGACCGTCGCTCCGGGTTCAAGCCTCGCAAAAGAGTCGCGCGAGCCATCTGTCACAGTGGAGACTGTGGGCGGACGGTAAGAGGTGGAATATCAGCATAGCGGAGAGGGCATCTCATTTCCGGCGTTCTTCCACAGCATTGGGCGGTCAGCAAAGTCTCCCCTTCCTGTCGCGCAATCAGCCCAGCAACAATCCTTTGCCACGATTTGAGACGACATCACTTTCTGATTTCAACTCCCCAAGGCATCGGCAGACCCTCCAGATAACGGGTTACGGAAAAATACACGACATGGTCTTCAAAAAGATGGGAAAGCAAGGAATCGGATTTGGACAAGACAGGCGGCGGCTGCAATCTTGGGTGATATGGAGTATGTTGGCGTTTTGATTGAGATTTTGGCACGGTTGCGTAATATACAGTACTTTCGGTCAAGGTGGCTTTTGGATAGTTCATGCGGGGCGAGCATCATGTTAACTACGAGATCCAAGACAAGATTCTGATTGAAGGAGAGATTAGTTTGTGAGGACATGAAGCACACGAACAACCCTAAAGCTTGCATAACAGAGGGTAAAATAACAACCAAGCTTGACGTTTGTAGATATCCGTGAACTGGTGTAAGCCGTAAAGATCTTGATCATCACGGCGTGGCACATTCACACGTCATAATACCTCACAGTATGAGGCTCAAGCAGGCGGTAAAAGTCTATACACTATACAAGGCTCGCTACCCTCCAAGGCCAGCTTACCACGACGTCTCACGTGCCAGCTGCCTTAGTGAACGCCATCTCCTTGCTCTCGGCCTCCGTGCTCCGATGTTCGGGCTGCACGAGTTGCCGAGGCCGTACACCTGACTACTGCGAGTGGCGTGGTCCATCATCCCGATTCCGTAGGCAGGCAGGTATTATACATCCGCTCGTCGTCCTCTTCTCGTCAAACTCTGGTCTTCCAGGTGGTAGCAACAGGTTGAGCATTTACTGGGCATCGGGCTGACTGAGGATATATTCCACGGCCTTCTCAACTGCGAGGATTTATTAGCTGAAGCGCTCCTATGTCGTCAAACTGCACGGAGCGAGGCCAATGCAGCGCCGAAGATGGAACGTACCCGAGTGGATGCCATCGGCGTCCTTGTCCGGGATCTCAATGCTGAACTCCTCCTCGATGGCCATGACAACCTCGACGGTGTCCAGGCTGTCGAGGCCGAGGTCGTTGGCGAAGTGCGCCGTCGCGTTGATCTGTTGACATTAGCCTCCGTCGACGACACTGTCTCCTCTCCCACATCGATCTGGCGGCATTCATATCCCAATGCATTCTTCTTCTCCTCACTTGCGCAGCCTCGACGTTCTTCGGGTTCAGGGGGGTACCCACGTTCTTCGGGTCGTTGACCTTGTCGAATCCGGCGAGCAGGGTGCTGATCCTCGTGACAACCTCCTCCTTGGCCAGGGCACCACCGGCCGAGTACATCCTGATGCCCATGGGCTTCCACGCCGCGGCGAGGCGGGGAGTGACGGTCTGGCGGAGAACGGGGGCGCGCATGGCGGCAGGGCGGGCGACGCGCGCAGCGGCGCTGGCGGAGCGAAGGATGGCGGTACGGAACATATTGAGGTAGGATATCTCGAGATGTGGAATGGTAGGAGGTCGTGAATGGATGGACAGCGGATAAATCGGGCGGAGGCGATGGATGGCGATGACAACACGGGCGATTGGACCTTGGAGCTTGTTCGAATGATGATAAATTCTTCGCCCGGCCAGTCGAGGTCACCCGAGTCACGTGCAGCTCACCACCCATTGTCTGAGCAGCAGCTCCCCAAAGCTATCACGTGATCCAATCGACCGGCCCCCGCCAGCCAATCAATCCCCGGTAGTTGTAATCCCGCAAAAGAATCCAGCCAACAATCCATCACGTCAAGCAACCACCACAAGCTTGCCTCCCTCTCCCGACTTCACCACCCTCAACCCCTCCCATTGGCGTCCGAACTTCCCCTCCTCCGGCGTCCTACCGACTATACAACACAATGGCGCCGGCAGCTCGACCATTGACCATGTTCGCCGCGACATCGACTCGTGCACTGGCTCGCTCGGCTGCGGTCAACCCGGCCCTCGCAAACCGACTTCTCGCGGCCGCTGCCGTTCGCGGCTACGCCACCCCTTCGGGCCCGCCGCCCAAGAACTTCCGTCAGGCGCCTTACCTGCGATGGAACGAGGAGAAGGAGAGCACTTTGGACCGCATGGGACGATACTTTCTCCTGACCGAGATGTTCCGCGGCATGTACGTGCTCATGGAGCAGTTCTTCCGCCCGCCCTACACCATTTTCTACCCTTTCGAGAAGGTACGCAGCGCGCCATCGATTGACAAACCGAAATATATCCCAAAGTATTGTCGAGACTAACGTCAAAGTAGGGTCCCATCTCCCCCCGATTTCGCGGTGAGCACGCCCTCCGCCGATACCCCTCGGCGAGGAGCGCTGCATCGCATGCAAGCTCTGCGAGGCCGTTTGCCCGGCGCAGGGCATCACCATCGAGCCGAGAGCGCGCGACGCTCCCGCCGCACGACCCGCTATGACATGATATGACAAGTGCATCTACTG